ACATTTTATTTTTTTACTTTAAAAATAAAATAAAATCAAGTCCTTATCGGCACAAATAAAGTGATGTGGAACATGTTGCATCTGTTCTTACCGAGCACAGAAGCTGCAGCGTTGTGCTGCTCTGTGAGGTGCAGCTGGGCTGTGATGGAGCTCTGTCAGGTGCAGACTCCGCTGATGGAGCAGAAGCCGGGAGGCTTGGAGGGTTTAATGTGGAGTTTAGAGTTGAACCGTCATGCGCTGAAATATGTTCTGGATAAAATACAGTGAGAAACGAGACCGGAGGACAGTTAGCGTTCATGCAAATTAGCTTAGCATCGTAGCACCGACGTTGTCCTATTATGGCGTCAGCCTCTTTTGTTAGTTAAAAATATGTTCAGAACCGATTGGATGAGTAACTTAAAATATGTTTAAAGATAGAAAACACTCACCATCTTCTATAAATGATTCAAGTAGAGCAGTGGCCGTGTCCAAACCACCCTCCAATCCTCCATCTAGCTCGCTTTGACTTTTTTCGTCGGCCACCAAGCACAACAACACCTGCACTTCTGCATTTGACCACGGCTTTGATATTATTGTTTTTGTATAGCTTCAAAATACTAAAAAGATATGCTCCTCGAGTTATCGCTAATAGCAAGCGGGAGAGAAAAAATGGCGGATCTGGTTGTTTGGAAAGACTCCACAGACCACCCCCCGGCGCCCCCGCTCCCCCCCAACCCCCCCCCCCCCCCCCCCCCCCGACCAATCAGTGACCGACAGTGTTTCTGGCGTCACGGCTCGGCTCGCTTGGACCCCTTGAGAAGCCGGGCCAGAATTTAGGGAGGCGAGCCGGTTCCAGGAACAGTGGAAAGACCTCAAACGTGCGTGAAGCCGGAAATATCCGACCCGCGCCGTGATAGCGGAAAAGGGGCATTAGGTTAATGTGGAGGGTATTTTGAAATTTTCCAGATGGCACTCTTGAGCCGTTTCTGTTGTGATTTTTGCAATGCCCTTAAAATATGTAATTTTTCAGCAGTCCTGATGCGTCCGCCAAATTTGGTGAGTTTTTGGATATGTTAAGGCCCCCAAAGGCCAATTCATTTGACGGAAAACTTTCTGCTCGGGCCTAATGAACAGAGCGATTACAGCAGCGCTTCGCTGCTCGGGCCTAACAAGACATCTAACCTAAGCTAATCAGAAGCTCCTGTTACATTCCACCAGCTAGGATTGGCTGGAAATAAGCCTGTCAAGTGTCAAGGAGGGCAGGGCCCTCCCCCTATATATGGGTCTATTGCTGCATTGACAGTAAATTAAAAAACCTCCTCGCAATGAGTAGAAGTTCCCACCAGCTCCATGTACTGTCTCTCTCTCAGAGCTTAACTAAACTGTCCGTAGATGCATGCACATGCTCAGTCGCTGGATGCTTTGCTCTGGGTCAGCAGAGCGCCACACAGAGTAGCTGTTCATTTGTAGCCATACTGCTTAAAAAAAAAAAGGCTAACTACTGCTTCTCTCACTGTATGTTAGTCGTTTCCAGAGTACCAATAATCCCGCTGTTCAAGCTACCCACCAGGAAGCAGCCAGGCTCCCACTAGCCTTGCCACACCTGGGGCCTCATGTACAAAGACTTGAGTGGATTTCCTACTGAAACGTGGCATATGCTCAAATAAAAAAATTAAAAAAAAACAGCCTATGCACAAATAAATCCAGAAGTATGAAACTGCATACACATGAATCCAAGCACACTTCCTTCGTAGATCCCAGTCAACGTGGAATTGAATTACATTAAGAACACAGTGTCGCTGCAAACTGCTTTAATGCTGGTCTGTTCAGCTGCATTGTGGGTCATTTGATACACCTGGTTGATATACGGATCATTCCATCCCACACAGCTGGCATGGCTCAACTCAGGGTGGACTGGCTCAGTCCTGATCGATCTGCCAGCCCCCTCAGGAATGTAGTATGAACATATGCTGATATATTCATAAATTAAACGGATTCTTTCATTTTTCTGGACTGTATAATGACGTGCATCTGATTTTAGAAATGTAACGTGAGACGTTAATTATCTTTGACTCACCAACGACAGTGGGTCATTTATTAACAGAATCAAGTTTAACACATCACACATTTACATTAATTGGCAAAATATGGAAAATAACAACATGGCTAATTTTAGCAAGCTGTACAATTTTGATTAACCACACGGCGGTGGTTGAAAACTTTACACAGACATTTCTAAAATATCTGGAATGATTTCTACTTGATAGAAGAATTTTAAAGATGGGAAATGAAGTTTAGAGGGAGAAAAAGATGGATGAGGGAGAATGTTGTGTCGGCGTCAGAACGGCACTCTCCGGGTTTTTCTCAGCTTCTTCCCCCAGTACACTTACGTGGTATAAATCAACTCTTTTACCTGGAGATGTCCCTGGTACGAAGTTCCATTTAACGCACCCTTTCAGCGTCTCTGTAGGAACAGCTGTGAATCGTCCGAAGTAGTGACAGTACTTGTTCGACACAAATTCACCTCACGAGTGGACTTCACATGAGTGGAGTCCGTCAGAGTTCCACTTAGAGGTGGAAGATGTTATAATCCCATAAGACTCGGAAGAGCTCTGTGGTCATGTCAGGATTTTCCTGTTTCCCAGCACGGGAGCTGCAACGACTGAAGCCGGAGCCTGAAGCGACTGGACTTCTGCAAACTCTCCACCCGACTCGTTTGAACTAGGAAGTACCGACATTTTAAAGGGCTCTATTTCCGGTTCATTTGGGAGTTTCTGATTGGTCAATATCGACCAGACAGGGGTGTGTTTTGTGACGTAAGAGGTCACTAGGAGTCAGAAAAACAGCAAGAATGTTATGGAACAGATTGAAAATGTTTTTAGAGACAGAGAGAGAAATGTTTGGACGAGTTGGCGGAAAACAGGTGCCAACAGGTGCCAGCTTCTCTATTTACGTCTGAGAGGATTTAAAAACATGACAGCTCGTTCCAACACTTGTCTGCGTTTGACTCCAACCTTGGACCAACTTACCCTGCTCATTCAAAGACAGAAAATCAGAAAATGCATAATTATTCTGTAACAGACCTTAACATGAATTCTAACTTTGCATGAGGATTAAAATCATTATTACTGTTTCACAGTTAATAAAAAATGATTAGTTCACTACAACATCTAAAATGGTTTGAACTAAAAACACTTTGATTATCAAACATTTGTAAAATAGTAATGATAATAGAAAAGTAGTCTTCTTTCACTTGATTAATTCAAGAAAGAAAGTCTCAGGATGGGTCAACCTGTATTTCTGGATTCAAATCAATGAAATGACAGTTTCTGTCCCATAAGGTGCCTAAGGTCAAGGTTTTGACATCAGGCCTAGTTCACTACAGGAATGACCCTGTTGCTATAGGAACCTCAGTGTGGTCAGCAGCTGTATTTGCTCTCTGTGTATTCACCATTTGTTATATCTTCTAATAAGGCTAAAGCCATTGTTGTTAAAGGTATTTTTTGAACCACTTTGTGCAACTTTTATATCCATTCATCTAATTTCATAAATGTGGATGTATTAATAGTTGGACAGTTTCCCAGCATCACCTTAGTGTCTCCAATGGACCAGTAACCGTAGAAACATGCGTACACCAGCCATGAAGTTGGCGTGGGGATGCACACATTTCCACAGTCATTTCAGTCTTGATACATCTGAAGTTCTGAGTGAAAAAGGACATACTCTACATTTTTGTGCTGGTTAGCTTAACTGTCATCAGCAACACATAACTTTACAGACAAATCTTCCTGGGAGTGTCTCTCACCAAGTCACCCTCCTTGCTCTGACATTGCAAGGAAGAGGGAAAGATTTTATCAGTGCAGCGACAGCCCTACATATAGGGGGAGGACCCTGCCCTTCTTGACACTGACAGGCTTATTTCCAGCCAATTCTGGCTGGTGGAATGTAACACGTCTGAAGGGGTCACTCTTGCTGAGGGCGTTCCCAATGAAAGACACTCACTCATGCTACTCAGAGAATTGGTGTTACGACAGTAATCTAAAGTTTTAAGTTGTAACCGAATTTATTAAAATGGATTTGCTTACAACTGATTGTTTTAAGGCGGCACCGTGGAGCAGTTGGTAGAGCTGCCGCTTCTCAGCAGGCAGGTCGCCCCGGTTCACATCCCGGCCGGGGGCCTTTTTGGGTGGTTTGCATGTTCACATGTGGTAAAAAAGATAATGGATGGATGACTGTTTTAGACCTTTGACCTTCCCTATAAATCAAGTTCAGACTTTTGAATATAAAATTAAAGACCCCCTGTCCTCAAAGTAAGGTATCACCGTAAATATTTTCCTTTTAGTTCAGTCTGGTGGCTTGGATCAGAGGAACCAGACTTAAAGACATTTGGTTGAAATAAGTCCCAAGTTTTTTTTCTTGATGTCTGATTGGCTCAGATCTCAGCGACCTGAGGACTGGGGCCTTCAGAGCTTATTAATGCAAAACAAACATTTTTGTTCCATCATAAAAGTTGCTTGGAAGATGATTTACATGATCTTTAGGTGAAATTTTGACTGTATTTATTTATTAAGTTTATTTGATAGGGACAGACAGACAATAACAGACAAACTGAACTCATGCTGTACAGGTGGCAGAGCAGCTCAGTCAGTGATCCTGAAGACGGTTATGGTTCGGCAACTTTGTATTTATTTATGATTGGGGCGGCTGTGGCTGAGTGGTTAAAGCAGTCGTCCTCCAATGCGAGAGTTGGGGGTTCTAATCCACCAGCAGTCACATGCTGAAGTGTCCCTGGGCAAGACACTGAACCCCTCATAGCCTCTGATGTGTGTCCCATCAGTGTTTGAATGTGATCTAAAGCACTGATTAGTCTCTTTAGAATGATTTGTTCCATTAGCTTTGTAGAGATCTAGTAGAGTGCTGTATGAATGAGTAAATGAGGACACAGATTGGAGTGTAAAGTGCTTTGAGTATCTCTATAAGATAGAAAGGCGCTATATAAGTACAGTCCATTTACCATTTACCATGATTTCTGTCTTACCCTGCATGCTGTCTGAAGTGGGGACAGTGCTCTGCTGACCCTCAGGTTCCTGAGACGACAGAGACTTTTCAGACTCCATGGTGAGGGACATCCCCTCCATCAGGTCCTCCACCATGTCACTGACACACAACTACACAACAAAATACATCAACCAATCAGAGACACCAGAGCTTCTTCTGTCTGAACTTGTTTCTGTAAAGCTCAACACCAACCTTCTGCAACTGAGGATCTACCCTCCAAATCCTCAGAGTCTGATCCCTGGACCAGGTGACCAGCTGGAAGTCCTTAGACCCTGCACAACAAGACAGTCAGTCAGGCAAACAGCAGCACATCTTGACCCTGTCAGGTACACATTACCAGTCAGTGACATTATGTGAAATGTTTCAGTTCAGTTTCTGTCATCCACCAATTTAGCTGAATCAGTGTTTGAAACGTTTTTTTCTGATGGATCCAAGTCTGAACATTCAGACATCTGATATAACTGGGTGATGATTAGATGACACACACTCAGACATGGTCTGAGAAACAAGGAAAGCTTTTAGAGTTCAGAGACTTGAAGAAGAAAAAAAAGAAATGTTGGTTGCAATTTGAGAGTTAAGAGAAATAAAGAGAATAATAAGTAGTTGTTTGAGACTCCACCAGCCTCTCTTCTGCTCACAGCTCTCATTTGAATGTTTCTCAATAAAAGTTCAACAGAAACTATTGTGGCTAAATATCACCATTATTTATTTTTATTTTTTCTTCTTTCGGCTGCTCCCTTTTTCAGGGGTTGCCACAGCAAACTAAGTCGCATGAAGACGTGCAAATTGGTTTTACACCAGATGCCCTTCCTGATGCAACCACAGACCACCAAGCTACCACAGCCCTCTGTGTGGAGCAGAGAGCTGCTATCTATGACATCTGGGGGAGTGGATGGTGGGGGTTAAGGGCCTTGCTCAAGGGAGCAGAGTGGGGCAAATGAGGGTGGAGGCAGTTGTGGGTGCTTCACCTATCCCATCCACATTTTGATGTTGTCGGAACCAGGAGTTGAACTGGCGATCTTCTGATCACAGGCCCACCGTCTAACCTCTGTGCCACCACTCCCTTTATTCTATACTCCCATTATTCAATATGATCATTAAGTAAAAATAGATGACAAAGAGTCTAAATGACAGAAAACAGTTTCAAAACGTCAAAATCAGTCAGAAGAGCACCAGAATCCCAAAACGCAAACTTGTAGACTTGGACACTTTTATACCTTCCTTGTGCATCTCTACAGATAATTTATCTCTCATTTTATCACTTGTCACTTATAAGGGATAACAATCTGTGTTAGCCTAACTGAAACCCCAGGCCCCAGCCCAGACTTCATGGACTTCATGGAGTCTGTAATTCCTGTCCACGTAGGCTCAACAATAACGTCTTATTTCTTGAAACTTATTTTCATAGTTGGTGGTGATAAGACCTTACAAGTATATCATATCCTAAGTTATTACTAATGGTATAACAAAAACACTTTCTACCTCTGCCCAAAAAGTTGACTTCAAAACTCAACAAAGTTCACTCAGGCTGTCTGAACGGTTTCTTTCTTTTGTTGATATATTTCGTCCTTCATCCAAAGGACTTCATTAGTCCGAGGAGCCACAACAAACTCGGTCCCACAAGCAGCACACTCGCATAGTGGTTCAACCAGTTTGCTGATGATAAGATGGTTTCTGGGGCCCACCCTCTCCCCCGTTGACTCCTCTGAGGCAGCCATAGCCAAAGTTGTTCAAAACATGAAAGTTCATGCTCAATAATCCAGGTAAAAATACAACAAAGCTTAAATCAGGTAATCTGGATGGTTTCTTTTTTTTTTGGCGAGACATTTCGTTCTTACTCCCAAGGATTTCATAAGCACACTCACAGTGAGTGCTTTGTAAGCACTCACTGTGAGCAGTGAGTGCACTGTAAGCACTGTAAGCAATCCCATACCGTAAATTCCATTTTAAGCGTGCCTCGGTCTGCCAGCATGGAGGCCTCCGTTGACATCTGCAATGACTTTACCAGATACTTTGCTGATAAGGTAGAGTTGATTAGGTCATCCATCCCCCAGTCCACAACTGATCCTTCTGTCTTTGTCCCTTGCTCAGCTGTCTTCAAACAGTTTGAACCCATTTCACTCCCATTTCTAAACAAAGTTGCTGATCAGATGAAACCCTCCGGTTCCCCCGCTGACCCCATTCCTGCATCGTTTTTCAAACAAGTTCTACCCACGATTGGACCCTCTGTTCTTACTATTATAAATAGTAGTATTGTGATAAGTGTGGTTACCGATGTTTTCAAACATGCAGTAGTTCATCCGTTAATTAAGAAACCTGGACTTGACCCTTCGACTTGCTCAAATTTCAGACCAATCTCAAAACTTCCCTTCCTGTCCAAAATCCTGGAGAAAATAGTTTTCATTCAATTAAACAAGTTTTTGAATGAGAACAGAATCTTCGAAATTTTTCAATCTGGTTTTAAGCAACTCCACAGCACTGAAACAGCATTAGTAAGGGTTTGTAACGACATTATGAACTCAAACGATTCTGGTCAATTTGTGGTACTTGTGCTCCTGGACCTTACTGCTGCTTTTGATCCTGTTGACCACAGTATCCTTATATCACGGCTGGAACAGTGGGTTGGGATCACAGGTGCTGCATTAGAATGGTTCCGCTCATACCTGAGTGGCAGGAGTTTCTGTGTCAAGGTTGGTAATAATGTATCCGCCTCATTACCTCTTTCATGTGGGGTCCCACAGGGTTCGATTCTTGGATCCCTTCTGTTCTCGCTTTATTTGCTCCCACTGGGGTCCATCCTGAGGAAACACGGTCTTTCATTCCATTGCTATGCTGATGACTGCCAGATCTACCTGCCTGTGAAACCAGTAAGTGTTTCCTCCATTCACCCGCTGTTAAAATGTCTGGATGACATTAGGGCCTGGATGGCTTCAAATTTCTTAAGTTTTAACAATGACAAGACCGAAGTCATTGTTTTTAGCCCTAGCTCAATTGCCACCACTAATCCTGTCAACCTGGACTCTCTTCAGCCATATCTGAAGCAGTCTGGTAAAAATCTCGGGATGGTTTTAGACTCTGATTTTAAGTTTGACAAAAAAATCAACTCTGTTCTGCAGAAAAGCTTCTTCCAACTCAGACAGGTAGCTAAACTCAAGCCAATGTTGTCCAGACCCGACCTTGAGAAACTAGTCCACGCCTTTGTCACGACCTGATTGGACTATTGCAACGCACTGTATGCTGGGATCAGCCGGGCCTTCATCTCACGTCTTCAGCTTGTCCAGAATGCTGCTGCTCGGCTTTTAACCGGAAATCGTAGGTCTGAACATATTACTCCAGTTCTGTCCTCCCTTCACTGGCTCCCTCTTCATACGAGGATAGTTTTTTAAATTCTTCTGCTGACCTTCAAATGCCTAAATGGCCTCGCACCCCTTTACCTCTCTGAGCTTCTGGAACCTTACGTTCCCTCTCAGGCCCTGAGATCATCCGATCAGCTGCTTTTGGCTGTTCCAAAAACAAGACTGAAGCTCAGAGGAGATCGGGCTTTTTCAGTCATGGGCCCCAAACTGTGGAACAACCTGCCCCCCAACATCAGGCAGGCCACCTCCCTTCCTCACTTCAAATTCCTGCTAAAAACACATCTGTTCGCTCAGGCATTTCACACAGTGTAAATTGTTCTAGTGTTTTTTAATCTGTGACTTTATGTTTTAAATGCTTTTTATTAATTCTTCAGTTATTATCATTATTAGTGTATTGTATAGATATGTTTATATATTTTTCTCTTTAATTTACTCATTGATTGTTGTTGTTGTTAAGCACTTTGATAACAGGTTCTGTTTTAAATGTGCTCTATAAATAAAGTTGACTTGACTTGACTTTGACTAGGCAAGACAAACTCTGCCTTCTCAATAACAGGAGGTGGGTGGCGATTTCACCACCTACTCTGACAATTTTTTTCCCTTTGGAGTCAATCGATGAGCCATGCGAGATAGTCTCATTACCAATTTCAGTCGCTCTAGCGGGAAAGACACAGCCTCTCAGAGACTTCATTTTAATTTGTCACAAGTACAGACTTTAAACTACATCAGTTTTTAAATCGTGTTGATAGGCCAAGTAAAATTAGAGGTGTGATAAATAGTCCACGCCACATCTATTTCTGAAAATCATCATCATATCTGAAGCGCGTTGGAGTGAGAGGCTGCAGCAAAGATGGGCAGTCTCGGGGACAAAACAACCCCATCATCCTCTGATTTCATCTCCTACCCCTGTCAAACAGATAAACAACCTCCCTCCTTCTTTCTGACGGAGGCTTGATGTTATTTGTCCAGTGCCAAACAATCTACAGGAATAAGAATATAAAGACACATAAGTTGAAAGGAGTTCAGTGCAATAAAGACAGCAATAGTGGGAGTGAGTCATGAGGTTTGAGAGATTTGTGATATTTAGCGTGTTTGGGTTTTATAGTTAAGGTGAAGTTTAGTGTATTTAGTTTAGTCAGTTTTAGAGTGTTTGGTCATCAGACCACAGGACATGGTTCCAGTAATCTGTTCTTAGTCTGTTTACCTTCAGCAAACTGTTTGTGGGCTTTCTTGTGCATCATCTTTGGAAGAGGCTTCCTTCTAGGACGACAGCCATTACAGGCCAGTTTGATACAGTGTGTGGTGTATAGTCTGAGCACTGACAGGCTGACCCCTACCCCTTTAACATATGCAGCAATGCTGGCAGGATGCATGTCTATTTTCAAAAGACAGCCACTGGATATGACACAGAGTGTGCACTCAACTTCTTTGTTCGGCCATGGCGAGGCCTGTGCTGAGTGGAACCTGTCTTGTTAAACTGCAGGTCTTGGCCACTATGCTGTAGCTCAGTTTCAGGGTGATAGCAATCTTCTTATAGCCTAGGTCAGGGCTATTCAATTGACGGGCCGGGTGGCAAATCAGGCCCACGGGTGTGCTCAGTTAGGCCCACCAATGGATTTATTTTTAAATTAAACTAGATTTTAAATCATAAAACAACCTTACTTAATGAGAACAACTGCTGGATGAGCTCTTGGCTTTCAAGAACTGTGCCCCACCGAGAAATTTAGTTGAATGGCCCTGGCCTAGGCCATCTTTATGTAGAACAACAACTGTTTTTTTTTCCAATCTTTGGAGAGTTCTTTGCCATGAGGTACCATGTTTCAGGTTCAGGTTTCAGGTTGGGTTAATTTGTCATATGTAAAAATCAACACAAGGTCAACAATGCAATAAAATGCTACGGATGTGAAGAACCGCCT